TTTGGCAGCGGCTCCTGCAAGGCTGGGGGGCCTGGGGATGAGTTGCTCTTCAGAGTAAAGAGTGCTGTTGGCACAGCAGTGGCACGGGCAGGGAGTAATTAATTACCTTCTCCACACAGTGCACAGGCATCGGCAAAACACTGCGCAAGGTCGGGAGCAGAGCTGGGGAAGGAGAAAGGGAGACTTGTAAGGAGTTTTCTTGTCATGCTCTGCAAAACAACAGAGGCCAAAAGGTTCTTCCTCCAACCCAGCCCATTCTATACACGTGAAAGTCTGTGCCAGCAGCCACAATTTTTAAAAGAGTCTGTCCTCCCTTCCCAGTTTCCCTCTTCTCCCTGCCTCTGGAATGTGAATGAACACCCAGAGCTCTCCTAACCCCATTGCTGCATGGCTGAAGGCAGGAGAGCAAAGCAAAGCTGTGGAGAGTCAGGAAGGAGGCCAGGACAAGCTTCCCCCAAGCAGGCTGAACCCTGCTGAGCTGGGGGTGTGGATGCTGCCACAAGCTCCAGGGTTGGCCAAACATCTCCTGTGCTACCCGGCACGTGCACGGGGCTCCTCAACTGGGCTCTGCAGCTACAGGGCTTGACTGACAGCTGTGTCTCCAACAAGATACTGGCTTACCTTAAGGACACACATCACTGTCAGAGAAATGACAGCGACGACGGACAGCAAGACCACCAATGTGACTGTGTCATCCAAGGCCTCTGGTTTCTTCTGGGACAAAAGGAGACAAGATCAGCAGGGGAGAGAGGGTTGCTCCTTCCATTCCCCATTGCCCTGAAGGACACATCCAGCAGTGCCCAGCAGCTCTCCTACCTCCTCTCTGTGTTCCTTGCCCTTCTCCAAGGCTGTGCGTCTGGAGATGTTCTCATCCATAGGACACTGTCCCGTGAAAGCAGAGGCTCCCTCGCTCTCTTGTCTCTTGCTGAGCAGACTTAGAAGCAGCTCAGTCTTGGAGACCATCTTAGCACAGGGCTGCTGCAGCCCAGGCAGGATGCAGTCCGTCCTCAGGGCCTGTTCTACACGGGCCAGGAATATCTGCAGGCCTTCGTCCGGCACCAGGTGATGGTAGCCCGTGATTTCAAACACATCTTCTGGAACGGGCAAAACGTCTGGGCCCTCAGGGCTGCCTGGCTTGTTGAGAAGCCTGGACCCTTGCTCTTGTTGCTTCCAGGCTGTCTCCACGGTGTCAGGCAGGAGGGGGAAGTGCCCACCTGGAGAGGAAGGCTCTCCTTCAGCCCTGTCCTCTACCCTGCTGATTGCAGCGGGGCCGTTGTTAACCAGCGGGTCAGACAGAAAATCCAGGTTCCTGTTTAGACCCTGCCGGGCTTTGCTTTCTCTGCCTGTGGGCTCTCCCTGGGCTTTGGCAGGGCCCAACGCCTGGGAGAAAAGCGGATTTTGTCCAACCCAGTATTGGTTGCCTCTCTTCTTGTGCTCTTTGTTTGTCCACATGTAGTTCTGCCTTGGAGATGGAGCTACCTTC